CACCATCTTGAATCTCCTCTCATATGGTTGATTCTTTCTTTTTATGATTTGTTTATTTTCTTGTATTTAGCATTCTGCATTGGAAGAGATTTCTATGTATGAAAAAAAATGACTTTGTTTATTAAATCACACAAAAATCCAGCAGAAATTATGAAAACTCTAAAGGACAACATAATCATTTCAGAAAAGCAAGACAAAAACACAGACAAGGTATGAGCTAAAACAATAACATTAAAATATGTGTATTCCAAGGCCAAAAACCAATGTAAAGTTAATGAAGAAACCCAATTATGGTCTGTGATATTCATGTACGGTCTCTATAAATACATTTAAATACTTTTTAGTTTTCTTCCAGCTTTATTGAGCTATAATTGACATATAATTGATTGATTCTTATATAAGGAAAAATACCATATTATATAATGAAGAGTGAGTAACACTCTTAATGTTTTATTGGAACATATCAAAGTGCTCTGCATGGGGCCGTTTATTCCAAAGGTTTAATATAAAATCCAGCACATCAAAGGTCTTTTGCTAGGGCACTGGGCTAATGTAGTCCTTCATAGAACTTTCTGGCAATTAGCATAAAGACAGGAATTACTGTTGAAACTAGTACACCCATGGGGATCCAAGATTTTGACAAGATGTAAATTGCTATCAGTTCAAGATTAAATTTCCTGAGTAGGGCTGACAGTGCACACACCCTGTGTGGTTGATTAAAGAATATTCAAGTTTTTGTATAACCTTCTCTGGGAAAGCTGAGAAGCCTATTAAAGAAACAGGACCTGCCCCATCTCCACCCAGAGGTGGTTCATAATGTCCTCTACATAATGCTATATGTTTACCAGTTATGCTATGTATTTACTTTCTCCAAATCCACCATGCACCTTCTCACATCTCTGCTGTTTTCTCCACCTGGAATGCCTGCCCCTCTAACTTCTACCTAACAATATAGGCCAAGGCCAAGTCATTGTGATAGAGATAATAGACCCCTATTATCCCTTTTTTCTACATTAAACTTTTGGCTGGGCATTTGGCCACTTGCTGATAGACTACATTTCCAAGCCTCTTATAACTAGATGTGGCCAAAGACCAAGTTCTGGCCAATAGGATATGTGAGCTATTTTGGGGTCTGTGACTTAAAGCATCTCTTATAAAGCATCTCCACCCTCTTTGCTCTTCCCACAAGCTGGAACACCAATGTGGCAATGATCAAGCTTTAGCCATACAGATGAAGACAACACCACATAGAACAGTGGAGCAAAGCAATAGGATAGAGCAGAACTGGGTCCCTGAATGACCCTGTGGAGCTTAGCTGTCTTACTGGCCTAGACTGCCCCCTACATCTGCACTATTACAGGAGAGAGAAGTAAAATTACATCTTAAGAGTGACCTTATAGAAATCACTATATTTGGGGATTTCTGCACTGTAACTTTTTAATTATCTACAATCCCTGATAGAGATGCTTCCCTGAGAGCTGTATGAAGTCCTGTCATGACTTTGGTGACAATGCTCACACAGTATCCATATGTCATTCCAGCAACCTCTGTGCTAGTTATATCTTGCTAATGGACTATAAGATTCTTGAGACAAAGTTCACACCGTTTCATCTATGATGTCCTCCAGAGTGATTATTAGCACAGTATCTTGTATATGAAAGTCATATTTGTTGAAGAAGTATGTGAATACACAGTGTTTCCCACTCGAATACTGTTTTTAGAAGGGAAATTAAGAGCAGCGGCAAAGTCGATATGCAATGCATTTAAACAGACCAGAAAGAATGCAGCTGACAAATAAGAGGCCTCGTGTGCTCAACTGGGAATAGTAATTCTCCAAAGATAAATGTATATGGTAGCAAAGCCTGAAGAGACCTCCTTGAAAAACACAGTTGGTCACTGAAGCCCTGGAGCAGCCCTTCCTTCCTCCCAGTGACCCTATATCCCTCAGAAGACCCAGATGGAAATGGCCACATGCTCTCAGGACCTGGACAATCACTTTTGCAGTCTTGATCACCTCCCCCTGGGGAATTAGAGCCAGGCCTGCAAATACAGTTTCTCAGAGGGAGAGAGGTACTGACATTGTTCTCCCAGGTCATGGAAGTATAGGAAGGGGATAGTATTTCCCAGACCATCAGGAAAACACTCAGTTATAAGGATGCGAGGTCTGGGGCCAGAATGCTTGATTTGAATCTCAGCTCTGCTGCTTACCAGCTCTACAACCTTGGACAAGTAACTTAACCTCTCTGCACCTTCATTTCCTCACCTGTAAAACAGAGGTGATAATAATACTTACACATGAGGTTGTTACAGGATTAAGTGAATTTATACATTAAGGCACCTAAAACAGTGCCTGGCATGCAGTCTATGGCAGTTGCTGTCATCGACATCATCCTTATCCTCCTTGTCATCACCTATAGAGAGAGCTCACACCACAGAACCTTTGCACAATAGGAAGAGTAAATAAAATACCCATTTTCCAGATTAAAAATACTGGGGCATCAAGGGATTACATGACTTGCCAGAGGTGACCAGAAACAGAGGCAGATGGCCACTCCTATATCCCAGCTTTAACTCATGTGCTAATGAGGAAGCTCTGTAGCTTCACCTGGAACCCTTCTCCAGCTCTCCAAAGACTCTTGTGGGGCTAAGAACTGAGGAAAGAGGCTAGAATCTCCTTCTCCCTTTTGAGTGTTTTCTCAGGAGTCAATGTCAGGAGCCAGACCTCTCTGGGAATGCCTGTTTGCTGGCCATCCCCCCGCAGGCTGCTGAATCCACCTGGGCGCCAAGGAGCTGAGAATTCTCTGCCAGATTCAGTCCAGGCCAAAGGGATAGGGGTGGGAAGGCACTAGGAAGATATTTGGGTGTTTGCTGATAAAATAGATGAAGATATGTGAGAGGACCAGAAAGGCACAGATGACAATGTGAGCAAGTATTTATAAAAGATGAGGAAGTATAAATGAGAAAATAGAAAGTGTGCTTGCCCAGCGTCAGAGCACAGGCGCTTCCTGTGATGTCCTGGCCCTTTAACCGAAGTGATCCGAATAAAGCCAGGGTGGGTGTGTGCATGGGTGTCAGGGGAGGGGCAGACATGAGTGGTGGACAGAAAGAGAGACAGAAGACTTAAGCAGACATAAACAAAGAAAAGAGGTTGGAGGGATGGAGACAGAGGAAGGGAAGAAAGATAAAGAGACTGAAAGAAGAGAGACAAAGTCACACAGCACCACAGAAGCTATGACTGTCCACCATGTCAGATTCACAAAGTGCCCCCTCAAAAAAAAATGAACAGAACAGTGACTTCTCCCCCAGGGGGCTCACTTTCAGAAAAGTGTTGGAGCGCTCCAGTCGCTGGGCACCAACAAGCATCCCCAGCCCTCATTCCAGGCGTATCTCCCCCTTCTTTTCTCTCCCTGATTTGATAGGGCCCCTCCCTCTTCCCTGAGCTCTGTTTCTCCATAAAGTTGAAGATGTTGCCATGGCCCCTCTCGGATGTTTCAGAGAGTCAGGCAGTTGGGACTGTCTGGTCCAGTGCATCCAAGGACAGCCTCCAAGAAGGGATCACATACATTCCCACCCCCAGGCTGCAGTGTCACATGAAAACTGAGGTCCAGAAACACTCAGGCCCAAGGCCAAGGTCACTCAGCATGCCCACCAGTTGTGGAGAGGCCCAGAGGATGTCCCCTGGGACATCTACTTCCTCCCTAGGTTAAGCAGACACAGCTCCAGTTGAGTCCCACATCTGTCCCTGGAGAAGGCCTGCTGTGAGTGCCCACAGCCACAGCTCTCTGGGCTGCTATTTTAAGGCTGTAGGCCTCCCAGGTTCCCTGGAGCTTGGCAGCTCCACACATCACCCTGAGAACTTCCTTCCAGGTCAGGAAGGGCTCTAGGCTGGGTTCCTTCACCACTCTTGTCTTGATTCCTGGAGAAACTTGAGCCACACACTTGTCAGTGGGACCAGAACCCTCCTCATATTTGCTTTCAGGTAGAGATTTCAGATTCCTGTCCCTCTGCCCAAGTGCCTGACCCCTTAGCAGGGTCAGCAGGATGGGCCTGGGAATTCTTCACCCCAATAGCTCCAACCCACAACCCAGACTCCAAGAGACTTGCCATAGCCTCAACAAGGTGAATCCACCCACAACCCATCCCAAGTTTTATTGTATCTGTATTCCAAACAGGTTTACCACACGGCAGGTACATAATAAGGCTTCCTGGATGGATGGATGGATGGATGGATGGATGGATGGATGGATGGATGGATGGATGGATGGATGGAAGGATGGATGGAAGGAAGGATGGCTTTCAACTTCTGATCTTGGGAGTCTGTAGACCATTTTGTTAAAAACCTTCTTTCCAACATCAGCGAATTTTGGCTTCTTCCTCCTTTCTGCTGCAGGCATAGGGGCCCATAGGAACCCCTTCTTGACCTCCCACTTGGGAGAGATTAGAGGACTTCAGACTCTGAGCTTCCTGGGTCATCTCCCAAACCTGGTGTGTTTGTTTTCTGTGGCTGCCATAACAAGTTTCCAGAAGCTGGGGCACTTTAAGCAGCAGAAATTCACTCTCCCACAGTTCTGAAGGCCAGAAGTCTGCAATCAGTGTCACTGGTTTGAAATCAAGGAATTGGGAGGGATGCACTCTCTCCACAAGCTCTAGGGAAGAGATGAATCCATTCTTGCCTCTTCCAGCTTCTGGTGGCTCCAGCATTCTTTGGCTTGTGGCCACATCACTCCAATCTCTGCCTCTGTGGTCACGTCACCTTCTCTTCTTCTGTGTGGGTTATATCTCCTCTACCTCCCTCTATAAGATACATGTGCTCGCATTTAGCGCCCATCTAGATAATCGAGGATAATCTTCCCATTTGAAATTCTTAACCATATGAAATTCTTAGATTTAACTTAATCACATCTGGACTGTGGCAAAGTCCTTTTTTGCCATAGGAAGTGACATTCACAGGTTCTAGGGATTAAGACCTAGATATACTTCATGCCTTCCCCTCCGACATCATGCTCCAGTTCCTGCTTGCATTTACTTTTGGCAACTTGGTTGGAATGTATCTGGCTCAGAATTATGACATACCAAACCTGGCTAAAAACGTTGAGAAATTTAAAAGGACTTGGATGCCAAGAAGTAACCCCTTAGTTCATGAGGCCAACTGCAGCAGGATACACTAATTCTACGCTTCTCAAGGGCATCCTTTACCATCTGAACCAAAAGCTTTCGTCTCACTTTCCAGTCTCTGCTAGATCCTGCATTGCCTTACAGCACAAATGGGGCCACAGGTTAAGAACTATCCTTAGTTTTCTAACGTTCTCACCTCTTCCCTTCCTCTTTCCTGCTGCTTGGGAGGCCCGAAGGCTAGAATTATGGTGCTAGATTGTAAACATAACCTTTAATTAGCAGTCTCTCCCTTATTCTTTGGAATTTCTACTGCCTTTTTTAAAAAGAAAAATCAATGAATTTTATATAGTCGATCAGATATAAATAATGCTGATTTCATAGTTTAGCAATTATAATGGGTGTTTAAACATTTGGTATTAAATTATATTGTTTCAAAGTAATTAAAGCTAAAATCTAGAAGCCAGTTTCTAGTGAATTATCCATTTATTTTATACTGTTGTCAATATAACTGACATATATAACTTCATAGTTGCTAATTTAACCAATAAATTAATTTGCTACTCATTAACTGAGAAACTATATTCTGAGAACCCCAAAATGAACTGAGGAATTAAGAAATATGTAAAAGAATAGCCTTCATCCTCAATAGAATTCATAGTCTAGTATGCATGTTTTTCCTTGATGATTTATTTGATCTGGCTCTTTTCCCTCAAAAGAATCATACTTATTTTAAGGGATTACAGGTGCATTTGACAGGTGCATTTACATGATGGATAAATGACAAGTTGTCTTTAAAGGAAATTTTATGCCTTTTCACATTAAAAAATATATATATTTACATTATAACTGTATAGTGATTCTCAGAAGAAAACTTTTGGGGTTTTTTTCCCTGCAATAAAAAATTACCATTGTAATTTTTCAAATGCATAATTAGTCCATTTTTTATAATTAAACAAAAATGTTTGAATACATCACTTTTCCCATAAGTCAAAATACAACAGTGATTTAGAATAAAGGGCCTCTCCCACCCCTAGCTTCTGGTTCCTCTTCCTGGAGACAGGCACTGTCACCAGTTTATGGTATACTTTTGAGAAAGATTCTGTGGTTAAACTAACACATGTGTGCAGGGCTTTTTTCACAAATGATAAAAAGCTATCCATGGAGTGCACCCCAGCCTTTGTTTGTTTGCTTGTTTGTTTGTTTTTTATGGAGATCATTCCATATCAGTATGTAAGGAGCAAGGAACCCCTTTCCTATTTTGGCTGCATGAGAGTCTATTGAATGAATGTACCATAAGTTATTTAATGTTACTGATGAATGTTAGGTTGTTTCCTGTCTTTTGCTGCAACAGTGATAACCTTGAACTTAATGTTATTATACGTATCTGTACAGGGTATAGCTATAAGCTAAAGTCTTCAAAGTGTAATTTGCACTACATATAGGGAAAGTTCCATTTCATTGCATGTTTTGTTTTAGAGGGCTTGTTGGCAGCTTCACTGCTAATGCCATTTCTGAAGACATTTTAGCAGAATCAGTAAACTGGAAGAATAATTTAGAGACACTTTTTTCAGACAGTGATAACACTGATACTACATATGATTATAGAATGAAGTGATTTTGCTTCTCTTTGAAAATATGGCTCTCTCATATGTGGAGAGAAGTTTTATCCCTGTCAGTTCATCCTGATGTGTGAGACAAACTAGGATCATGTTGTTGTTTGGCTGCTCCCTAACAGTGTGCTCATGGACAAACAGCTTATTTTTCTGAAACTGTTGTATTTTCTGTAAGATCTGGACTCAATATCTACCTCATAGGGCTTCCATGAGAAATAATTGAGATAATGTCTGTGATGTGTAGCACAATACTTTGCAAATTTGCCCAATTAATAGTAGATCTTAGTCAAAAAAAAAAAAAGATCTAGATCTATTTGAGGGGGCCTTACTTAGGCTAATAGACCTGGCCTCACAGAAATTCTGGATGCTGGAAAATCTAAATCCTCCCAGCCCTAAATTCATACCCCCATCTACCTCAGAGAATCTTTAGTAGATGGGTTAATGGAGAAGAGAGATAAAGAGATAGAGAAAAGATCACTGGGCTGAAAGTATTGGCCTTGAGTATCACTTTACCCCTTGCTAGATCTGTGTCTTGAACAAGTTGTTTAGTTTATCCAAACATTTATTGAATGCCTTCTATGTGACAGGCACTGTGCTAGGCATGACAGAGTTCTCTTTCTGAGAAATGAAAGAAACAGTGCATTCAATATGGTTGATATACAGGGCAGTGCCTGAATTTGTGCCTGATTTACAGTAAGCACTCAATACATTCTGTTACTGTTATTGTTAGACAGTAGGTATTTAGTAGGTGGGATTTGTTTTTAACACCCAGGCCGTGTAGGCATGAAAAAACTGGGACAAAATAGGATTGTAGAAGCCAATGGAAAAAATAGTTTCTCCATATCTTATTTCATTTTTACAACCATTCTGTGAGTTAAGTGATATTTTACCAAAGGAAAAGTAAAGCTAAAAAAGTTAAGATCACAAATACACAGTTGACACTCACCATATTTATGTGTGCACCCAAATTTCTCAGCTCCCCTGCAACGAGGTGGGCCCATGTGACCAGTTCTGGCCAATGGACAAGTGAAGGTGACAAATGTCACTAGCAGGGAAAAACCTCAGGTCCCATTCATCTGCAATGGTGACTTTGGAGATCTCACATTGATATGGCATAACCACAATATGGAAACAACCCATGTCCCTGAGTTATCACTGGAATAGAGCTGTCTGATCCACAGAGGACTTTGTACAAGTGAAAAAGCAAAATCAAAATACAAAATTTGTGTGTTGAGACACTGAGGTCTGGGTTTCTTGTAATCATAGCATAGCCTGTCCTTAACTGACTAAAACTCCAGGTCTCATGAACAGGTGTTTTTCCATCATCCTTTCTCAGCCAAGCTTCTTAAAGGAGTTGCTCACCTTTGCTGTCTTTACTTCCTCACCTCTTACGCATCTTTCAGCCTCTTCAGTCAGCCTTCTAGCCCATCTGTCTACTGACTTTGCCTTGTGACCACCACATTGCCAAATCCAATCAACAGTGTAATATTTCTTTTATAACTGAATTTCTGAGGATTTGTGACTCTGTTGAAATATTTTCCTCCTTTGTTTACTTTAATCGAAAGTAATAGAAAACCTAACATATCCAAATGGGCTAAAACAAAAATTCAACTAAGTATATTATGTTTTAAAAAGACCCAATAAGAGATGGGATTCCAAGGATGGTTGTTACAGGGGATCACCTGTGTCATCAAAGACCTCAGTTCTTCCCATTTCTCCTCCCTGCCAGCTTTAGTGTGCTGAGTTGATCCCTAGACTAGTTTTCCTTATGGTCGCAAGATAGCTGCAACTCTTTTGTGTATTACATACAGATTTGACAAAGCACAGAGGTGAAATAGAACCATTTCATACTTGACTCTGTTAAGAATGGAAAACATTTCCCATAAGCCCTTTAGAACTTTTCTTCCCATGTTTCATTGGTCAGAAGGGGTCACATGTTTGTTCCTAAGCCAATCACTGAATGGGGAATGAGATTACCAACAGTGGCTTCCACAATCACGATCCACTCTATGGGACAGGAAGGTCCATATGCTTATGTCAAAGAGGACAGAGGGACAGATGTTAGGGAGGCAACCCAGAACCTCTGCTGCAATTTCCACGGCCCCTTCCTGGTTCTCTTGCTTCTCTGACACTCTTTGTTGATGTCCTCTCCTGGGTCCTTTTCCTCTGAAGGTACTCTAAATTTTTATTTCTCTGAGGGTTTTATGCCCACACTTCTTCTGTTCCTACTCCATACCCTCTCCCCAGCACTCTCATTGATTCCTTTGATTTTAATTTCCACATATATGTCTCAGAGTCCGAAGCTACACCTCCTGCTCTGAACTCTTTCTTGAGCTCTATACCCAAATATAAAACTGCTTGCTACATGAAGTCTCAAGGGATTCTCAAACTCAATGTATCTGAACCGATCTAGACTTTCCCTCCCCAACTTCCTCCAAGTTGTTTTCTTCTTGAGTCTGTGGTTTCGGTTAGTAGAATCCCCGTCCACTCTCCACTACTCCTTTTATGATATCAAATTAGTCATCAAATCCTGGGACTCCAGCTTGAAAACTCAAATGCATCCATCCTCTCCCTCCTCATAGCTACTGCCTGGGTTCAGACCTCATTGTTTCTTTCCTGGTACATCAGTCTGGGAGCCCTCACTCCACCTGACACAGCCACCAGAGCAGTCACATTATGCCTGTCCATACTCACTAGCTTCTGAACATACCCGCTGGGCCATCCATGAGCAGGCCTCTGTTGCACCTTCATCTCACCCTATCTCCCCTCACTCTGCATCCCAACAATGTTGATCTTCCATACGATGTCATCTTACTTTTGTACATGCTGTACTGACTGCCTGAAACATCTAGCAAACTTTTATTTTTCCTTTAAACCCCTGCTTAGTCATCATCTCCTCCAGAAGTCTTTCCCTGATTGCTTCCTGATAAAGTTACTCAGTGTCTCCTCTGTGTAACAGCTTCCTTCAATGGTCCAATAAACATTTACGGAGTATTTACTCTATGCCAGGCACTGGGGTACAACAAGAAACAACAAACACGGTCCCTGCTCTGTAGGAGAAAGAGAAAAAGGAAACAAAACTGTAAGATATTAAGAAGAATTGAAATAATGAGGGGAAGGGCCTCAGGGAAGACTTTCATGGGCACCTGAAAGATAGGTAGGAGGCTCAAAAGAGAGAGAGTAGTTCAGGCAGAGGGATCAGCATGTGTCAAGTCTTTGAGGTAAGAAAGAACATGGTGCATCAAAAATTTCAAGATGTCAAGTCTAACCCTTGTACAGGTTACTCTTATTAGGCCCTCTCTACCACCTCACCCCCCACCCCACACACTGGGTTCACCTGTTGGTCTCCACCAGGAAGAGCCCCTTGCAGGCAGGCTTCCCATTGACTCACCTCCACCTCTTACTAATGCAGGAT